TAGTGTCGGCTCCGCCAATACACATCCTCATGCATGGACAAATTACGGTCAGAAAGCTTACAGAAGGAAAAGCGGTAAACCTTCCGAACAGTGGTCCCTCTGTAGACGTGAAAGTCTTCGCCGCCAAGAAAACAACAGCTGCGTTCCACCGACAAATGGATAGAGATACATGACAAACAAGATGGGACAATAGATCAAGGGTAGATTAACCCATGAGTTTTTCCCCAGTATTAGTTCCCGGAAAAGTGCGTCCATGGATACTTTAATTTTTATCCATTTGCGTTTTAGTGGTCAATTGACCAAGTTACTTCTTTCAATTAATAATCTTTCTATGTAAGGTATTGGTTGAGATAAAAAAGTCGTTGACACGAGCGGGATTCGAACACACGAACTTCGGCTAAATACGCCGCTACTCTACCACTTGAGCTATCGTGACTTCGATCCTCTCGGAGACCAACTCTCCATCTCAAGCTAAAACTGTTCGAATTTGATAAGACAAAAAAAAATATGAACGGTTTTAGGTTGACATGGAGAGTTGGTCTCCGAGAAGATCGAAGTCACGATATCTCACGTGGAAAGTACGCACTGGGATTCTTTAAATCTACTCTTTCAATCTCCGGAGCGTCTTGGCTGCATCTAGCTTGAGTCCGCGCTCATTGTTGCGATGAATCTGGTGTGGTGCGGGCTAGCATTTTCGGACTCTTAAATTCCCTCCGATAGGATTCTTTGACTCAATGTTGCCCAACATTTGCCAGTGCGGACGTGAATCGGAACAAGCGCTCTTGTTTCATTTGTTTAGTTGACGTTCTAGTGAGCGTTTTATTGAAGATTTTGATAGTGCTTGTATAAACGTCGGGAACATCCTTAAAAAATTTCTGAACCCTGCGCCATCATTTAATCTCAACGTGTCCAAAAGATTTTTCCCGTGCTGATTCCCGCCGTGAAATATTTGTCGAGCCAATCATCTTTTAGGGCGATTTTTAATTCCCTTCCGATTGGATGCACTACATGCAATTCAAAATAGAGCAAGGGATCATTCGCAGGTACTGATGAATGTGAACTGAATCTTGGTCTGGACACGGTTTATTGTCGCGGAGCAGAGTCGGGGCTGCATCGAAACAATGGATCTACGCAGCCCTGACTCTGCCCCGCAACATGAATCGATTCAAAGAATCCCAGTGCGTACTAGGATGTAGAGAGGCGGCGTATTTAGCTGAAGGTCGTAGGTTCGAATCTCGCTCGTGACACTGACTTTTTTTTATTAACCAAGACCTTACATAGAAAAAATATCTTTATCGATTCCACAAAAACGACAATTCACTGTGCACAAACCGTGCGACCGATGATAACACAAATCACAGTCTGTTACATTGTCCTCCTTATAACAGAAAACCGCTCAAATCACCCCTTAAAAATAATTTGCCTGAAGACTTAAATAAATTAGTTTGCGATAAATAAAATTTCAAATTATTTAAAAACTTAAGTCGAAAACTAACATGCTGGCATAAAAAACACTATCTATCTTATTTATTCATTGTAAATATTGCATACTCGCTATTTATTTATTATTTATTGATTACTTCTCGTATATTTGTCGCTTCCCTTATATATAATATTTATTTTATTTAGTTTAGTTATTTATTATTCTTATATTTATTAATTATTTATTTTGAATAGATAATTTTAAAAAATCCTTTCCTTCCCCTGGTCACACTTTCCACCAAGGTAAGTTTAGGAGAAGATACTAAAGTAAATTTAAACATCCTTAATTGATTCATTATTAATATTCATGGTCGTGGTCCGCCGGTATGGCGTCTCCCTGTGGTACGACGGGGGGTGGGAAAAAATAAAAAAATATTATTACATTAAATCTATTATATTTCGGGGTCCGGTTGAGCAAATAAATTCTTTCAATTGATTAATCTTTATGTAAGGTATTGGTTGAAATGAAAAAGTTAGTGTCAGGAGCGGGATTCGAACACACGACCTTCGGGTAAATACGCAGCTGCTCTACCACTTGAGCTATTCTAATATTTGTGGAATTCTCGATAGCTCCAGTAATAGAACCGCGGCGTATTTACCTGAAGGTCGTGGGTTCGAATCCCGCTCGTGACATTAACTTTTTCATTTCAACCAATACCTTACATAAAGATTAATTAATTGAAAGAAATGATTGCATTAGTATAGGTTCTAACGTCATTGAGTTTAGACTTTTGTGCAGTTTTGGAAGACGTTTTTAAATTTTTCCTGACGCTAAAACATATTATTATTATTACTTAATCTTCTAAGCTATCGGACGCCAACTTCCCATCTCAACCCACCTTTCGAATTTTCCCTCCTTTTTGCCATTTTTCAAATGTCGTGTAATCAGGATGTAATCAGGATTCGATCATCGGCGACAAATGAAATGACCACAGAGAGCTTTAGTGAAGATATACTTCATTTTACTTATTAAATCCATTAGAGTTCGTGGTCCGATTGACCAAATAACTTCTTTCAATCTTAATTAATTAATCTTTATGTAAGCTATTTGTTGAGATAATAGATTACACGATTTTGAAAAATGGCGTATTATTATTTTTTTTTTTTTTAAATGGCATTTCCGTCAATTCTATGATGCCGTTTTCACTGAAAAAATTCTAAATGAAATACTACTGTCTGAAAAAGGCAAATTGATTTCCGTGACAATAATTCTGTGAGGAGATGGTGCGATAAATTTGAAGATTACCACTCCTTTTTATAATGAATTCACTCTCGTACCTTGCGGATGGCTATTATAAATTAGGATTTCTCATCAGTTACTAATCCCGGCGGAGCATTAGTGTGTTATCTTTTATTTATTAATCTCGACAACCTTAAATTAATAATTTTCCCTTCAGAACTGCCTCGCTGGACGATCGCGATTTTTTTCTCAGCTATGATCGAGCTTCCGCTAAAATCTATGCTCCACTGGGATCTTAACGTTTTAATACTTCGAGTGATTTACGTTAACGCGTGGGAATTAGAAATATCGAGGTGTGTTGTGCACGAATAAATCCGGCCGTTGCTCGAAACCGGAATGGATAAATAAATAGGCCTAGCACATGGAAATCTGGCCGTTTTTAACGGAGTGAGATATCGGCCGGCGATGCTTTATGACTTCCGTGTATGTTTTCAGCCCCCGAGGTCCTTCATCATACATGTTTTTTTCTTTTTCGTTTCACTGTCAAACATCTTATTTTAAATACCTCCTACCAGATTCTTTTGCACCAACATGACTTTTTATACCAATTGTCTACAATTTTGAAAATCATCGTACATATGGATTTTAGTAATTAAAGATTTGACCATTCAAATCAACATAAACATAGGGTTGATTTAACTCGAGCTGAAATGTTTCTCAAAACCATTATAGATTATGTTTCAGATTGATTATCACTATTTTTTCTATTTGTTCTATGACCATTACGAAAAGTTTATAAATATTCACAAACAGCAAAACTCAAGCAACTTTAATCTAAACTATCTAACTAACTGCTAATAACATTTTTTCTTAGACGTCCAGACTTTTAATAGCTACATTTTAATGATTAATTATTAAAATTATATGGAATTTATTATCGGTTTTTTTTTTTGCAAATTTATATATATTTATATATTTCGTAATTAATAGAATCAATCGTAAATAATGAAATTAAAAAATGATGAGATAGATCGATGGATAGAACTATAAACTATAGATAATCAGAAAGAGAGAGAAAAAACGAGAGAAAGTGAGATAAAGAGAGAAAGAGAAACGAAAGAAATAAATGGCTAATTACGTTTTTTCTTAGACGTCCAGACTTTTAATAGCTACATTTTAATGATTAATTATTAAAATTATATGGAATTTATTATCGGTTTTTTTGCAAATTTATGTATATTTATATATTTCGTAATTAATAGAATCAATCGTAAATAAAAAATTAAAAAATTATGAGATAGATCGATAGATAGAACTGTAAACTATAGATAGTCAGAAAGAGAGAGAAGAAACGAGAGAAAGTGAGATAAAGAGGGAAAGAGAAACGAAAGAAATAAATAAAAAAATTTATTGTGTTAGAGATATAGATAGATAGATAGATACAGAGAGAGAGAGAGAGAGAGAGAGAGAGAGNTATTAAGTAACTATGGACGTGTAAAGAAAAATATAAGATGAACACAAAACTGCAGTCTTGTCCTGACATCGATATAGTTTTTCCTCTATAACGTTACTAGCGTATTTACCAATAAACAATCTTTTCACCAGAACTTTTGTGTTTGTTGTGTAGATGAAGCGAGTTCGAAGTTGTAAACTTTTTTCGTAAACAGCTGGAAAATAAGTTTATACTCTTGCGATAAATAGTTCGAAAAGATATATCAGGTATACATATATACATAATATCCAAATATATACTATCTTTCCATCTTCGGCCCATGTTATGTGTTATTTCTATTGATTTACGATATACTGCTACATATATTATTTCATTTCAATAATTAACATTTAAATCATCAGGGCCTAATTTATTAAAAAACCAAAATTTACATGAACAGAGTTACATAACACATCTATATTACATTACAAAAATAAAATTACGTACTTAACCCAGTTGTTAGGAAAATTAAATTTATTGCTCATGTTTGTTGTTTTTTTGAAGTGAAGATGAAAATGTATCTATATACTAAAAAACAAAAACCGTCTTGCTGAAAGTCTAGTGACCCTCATCGGTCATCCTTTGGTTTCATTTTTTCATAAGTTAACACTAAATCTCAGGTACATGTATTTCTTTATCACATATACGTTATATATATACAACTTTTTTACTGTTTTTTAACTTAAAATTAATTAAAATTAATTCAGTCGCTGTTTGACAACCGACGAGGAAGGATCAGTGCCTTATCTCTCGGATACACAAACAAGTCACTTCATGCGAAGTGTTTTTCGCTTCTTATAATTAATTCATAGAACGACGAGACTATTATATTTAACAACTCCGTTTTTGTTATTGTTATTGTTTCGTTGTATTAATTAAAAGTACAATTTATTGAAATAATTTAATATCATCTTCCAACCAGTAATGGAGGGTAACGAAGAACCTCCCGATATAGACGAAACATCTAGAACAAGCAATAAAGATGCCCTCAAACGTGCGGGGGAGGATCTCCCTAAGCAATACAACAAAGTATTCATCTCCACCAAAGACATAGCAAAAGTCGTAGACGGTGAAACAAGATCGTACAGTAGACGTGATTATCTTATCGCCCTAAACAAAAACAGGTACAAGCCTACCGACTCCGGACCTTTCTACGTGTTTGTCGAAAGCATAGATTTAAACGCCGGCAATATACATCCTATGAAATTAGGAAAAATTATATGGAACTCGAACACAAGAATATCTAAGCACATACAGAACATTTCGGTCTCAGGGCGAAATAGACTAAAAATCGAAACTGACAATTATGAATCCGCAAACGCTCTCTGTTCTAACGAACTATTTAATGCTAACAACCTCTACCCATACATTTCCACCTTTTTTACACAAAAAAGAGGGATTATAAGAAATGTCTCGACTGATTTTTCCACAGACGAACTAATAGCAGGCATTAAATCTCCAATACCTGTAGTAAGTGTTAGGAGATTCACCAAAAAATCACAGGATGAGAATGGCCAAATGAAGATTTTCCAACTCAGTACCTGCCTAGTAACGTTTGATTCGCAACATCTCCCAGAATTTATTAATATCTTCGGCATGCGGTGTAGGGTAGATGCGTTCATACCCCCCATTAGGCAGTGTTTTAACTGTCTCAGATACAACCATACCAAAGATCAGTGCAGAAGCCGGAACAGGTGCATTAACTGCGGACAATCCCACCCGGAAAGTGACTGCGAAGGCACAGAGCCCTTTTGCGCTCACTGCTCGGGAAAACACAAATCGAATGACAGAAACTGCCCTGTCTACAAAAAACTAGTTGAAGAAAACAAGAACAAAGCAAAATCCAACGCTCTGTATTCTACAACCGCTACGTCAAACAAGTTCAACCTTCTGCAGAATTTGGAGGACTTCCCAGAATTGCCTACAAGCAACCAAACCATCAACTTAGGCAATCCCTCACACCAAAAAACGATACACCGAAAATTTAAGTCCAGTATACCACCCGTAAAGGTTACACCCACAGATTCGACAAACCCGTCATATAGACAAGACATCGGCAAGGAGACAGGCAATGAACAACCCTGTGAACCCCCGTCTAAAAAGCGATCGTACGACAAAAGACATATCACACCATTCTCGAGGGAAGCTAGGCGAAGCACACAGTCAGTTTCAGATAACTATGTGTTGGAGTCCATATCATCGCAAGTTCAAAAACTAGATTCTGTAGTCTCAGCTTTGAGAACCAAACTTCCCGAAGAAAACTCCCCATACATCGCTGATGTCTCCAACATTGCTGTTTTCTTTAAGCAACTGCTTACGCAACTTAAATGCGCGGATGTTGTGCCGCAGAAAAATCCAGCTATATATGACTAATATGAACACTCATATCTGCCCAAATAGTATTACTACGTTAAAATGCCTTCAGTGGAACGCACGCTCTATAATACCTAAAAAAGGGGATCTCGAGCAAGTGCTAAATTTACAGGATATCGACATAGGTTTTATTTCTGAAACGTGGCTCAATCCGGAAAGAATTTGCAAGTTCTCGGACTACGACTTTGTACGCCTTGACCGTGATAACTCATACGCAGGAGTAGGCCTGATCATTAAAAAGAAATTTCAGTTCATCCCTATACAGATAAAACAAAATTTGAAAGATCTCATGGCCGTAGGAGCAAAAATCATATCAAACAATACTCCGATCCTTACTATAGTCTCAGTATATAATTCCGCCACTAACAACTTATCTGAAAGAGAATGGGACCGCTTTCTCAAGCAATTTTCCCCTCCTTTTATTATCGCGGGAGACTTTAATGTCCATCACATATCATTAGGCTCAGAATGGTCTGACCTTAAAGGTAGGAATTTCTTAGAAGCCATAAACAATAATAACATTGTTTTCCTCAACGATGGCTCTGCGACGAGAGTAGTACCGCCACTAAGAGGGAAGAAGTCTGCAGTAGATATCACTCTGGTGTCAGCCAATATTGCNAAAAAAAAAAAAAAACTTAAAATTATAATTTAACTAGCTACAACTATGTACAAGGATTCGAAAGTTGTATATATATAACGTATCTGTGATACAGAAATATCTGAGATTTAGTGTTTTTTTTGTTTTTGTTTTTTAGTATATAGATTCATTTTCACCTTCACTTCAAAAATACAACAAACATGTGCAATAAATTTAATTTTCCTAACAACTGGGTTAAGTACGTAATTGTATTTTTGTAATGTAATATAGATGTGTTATGTAACTCTGTTCATGTAAATTTTGGTTTTTTAATAAATTAAGTCCTGATGATGGCGGAATATTCGCCGAAAGCTTGGTGAAACCCAATAATGATGTTCTTTATTCACCTGTAAAATGACCTCAAGAAGATCCAATACGATTGATAAACTCTACTTTAAATAATTAATATACATACGTAATTTCAGTGTAATGCCCTGCATATGTTATTTAATATTAATCATTATTTCTAATAAAAACTCGATTCAAGTTAGTTAAAAAATATAAATTGAAAACGTTGATGGGTGCCATGTTTCTAAAAAATCTAGCCCTGTCTATACTATTTCAAAACTCCGACCGTCGAATCAATGTCTGAATTATTTTTAAGTGCTTCAAACACTACGTTATATTGTCCTGTACATTGTTAAGAAAACTGAGTGCCCTGCTTGATGTTTTAGGCTGAATTCCAAAATTCATTCGAACATGACGAATATGATGCCATCAAATGATTTGAAATCATCCATCATATTGTATATACTTTTTTATGGCCTGAAGATAAACCATCATACAACTTTTCCTAGCCAGTAATATTATTCTGCCCAACATACCGTGTTCAAAGAAATAGTTTATTGACTTTTTGAGTTTAAAAAAATCTTTTCGGACACGTTGAAGAATACAATTGATCATTGCGTATGAAATTTTCTCAATCTTTTAGGTCGTTCTTTGCGGGACTAGTAGTGAGATATAAAAACAATTGTAAAACTAGGTCTCCATAAATTAACATTCACTACTAAATCTCACTCATTGTAAATGTAATTTTTCTATAAATTTGTGTGAATTTAAAAAACTTAACACTATGGCTTTCTATCGCTTTTTTTCCTGCTTTCAGGCTTCCATTAGAGAACTATCACAATCGTGTAATTAACAGTTGAATGTTTTCAGCCCTTGTGTTCTTCTGTAGTTAAGTTCTTTGGGCGTAATTCACTCGGACATACACAATAATTCTCGCTAGCGACTGTCTCAGCTAAGAGGATTACCCATGTATTTATAGGTGTCCGGTAAACCAGTGTGATATATCGCTCGGTAATGCCTCATACGGAGATTTCAGCGAAATCCGTTTTCCTCTGTTATCCTCCTCCGCTGTAAATTGTTCTCGGGAGGTTTCAAAAGTCTTTTGATTTACATTCCCGCAGATGCCCAGTGTCCCTCCCCGGCTTTCTTTTCTCGCCTAAGAAAAGTTTTTAAAGTCATAAATTAAACGACGTCGATAGGATTTACGCAGTGCCGTAACTGGTTCGCCTTAATTTACATAAGAAATTCTGCTATATTCATAAAAATAATGACATTATCTTAGCATAATAATCCACTCGCGGCACTCGATTAGGTATTAGCGTGTCTAGATTTCCATGTTATATATCTCAATACCTGACAGTCCTATTAGTTTTGATTTCGGATCTGTTGCCTAACTACAAGCACTTCATGTCAAATCAATGCACAATCAAACCATTTAACGTATGTCGGCGTCTGTACTTATTGGCATTTAGAAAATACAACAACCATAATAAAAATTTAATTTTACAAAATTAGCCAGGTTTTTTGAAACTTAAATATTAAAATTTGTTTTAAGGTATTAATTTACACACATAATTTCTTTTAATATGAAAACAAATGTCGGTATTTTATGCACACACCCACAAGTTAATTTTGACTAGGAATCGCGTGGTGGTAACAGATTTTATTTAACTTTTACATCTAACTATCTAACTCGGAAATAACATTAACTTTGTTCTTTTAAACGAGAAGCCCACATTTTTATTGCACAATTCGATTTATGTGCTTATTTTAGGCCACTTTTTCTGAAAGGAAAAATTTGATAGGATAGTTATTTCTGTCGGAAGACCTGGACCTCCCTCGCGTATGTCTTGTGAGCTATGGGCACGATACACATCAAAATTATTTAATTCCAATATTCGCCAGACCGACTGAGTCGATATACCGAGAATGACGATCTCTTTCTAATTGAAAGGTGAGGATTTTCGTGCTATTTCGTTTTCGGGTGTTTAGGCGTTGACACGGCACTCATCACTGTAAGGTAAAGGTCCCGGGTTCGAAACCAGCGGCCCTGCATTCGAACCCGACATACTTATAAATGGGCTTTTTTTCAAAAACATCGGCATCCCGTGAGGGTTTATACGACCTCTGTTGTTGCGAACTTAAGAAAAAAAATACAATAACCATAACACGGTCAAAATAAGTGAGAACATATTTCTTTCTTGCAAAAAAGTCCGGCATACTCAGAAATGTTTGATCCTATCAATATTTTCTTTTCAAAAAAAGTAGCATTAAATGAGCTCTAAAATCGAATTGTACAATAAAAATATGGCATCTTATTTAAAATAACAAAATTATTCAGAAATCCTGAGATGCGCTCTGGTGTGATGTAGGTTTCAGAAAAACATTTTCTTTATCGTGCCAACGTTTCCATCTTTATTGAGATCATCTTCAGAGCTCAATAAAGATCGAAACGTTGGCACGATAAAGAAAATGTTTTTCTGAAACCTACATCACACCAGACCGCATCTCAGGATTTCTGAATAATTATCGATTAACGGTCACTAATCACCACACATAAAATAACAAAGTTAGTGTCATTTCCCAGCTAGATGAAAAAGTTATGTTAAATCTGTTACCACCACACTATTCCTAGCCAAAATTAACTTTGGATTTGTATAAGACCATTTTTTTGCTAAAGTTAATCGTTTCCAAATTAAATAGGTGGTCTATAGAAATTGGTACACTCTGTGTATATAATATTTTGAACTGATCGACACCGGATCAAATTTTGGATCCGTCTACTCCCAGGCTTATCTTCACGTCTTCTTCAGGAAAGTAATTTTTTAGCTATTCCACGAACAATTAAACAGGTTGGCAATCATCACCAATTAATATTTCTTGATTTATTCATTGAGAGGCTCAGAAACTTTTACGTATCAAGATCTCGGTCGATAGGTTGCCCTCGGATGAATGAATAGAACAAAAAAGATCATACTCACCCGACTAAGATTAGGCCATGCAAGGTTGACACAAGGACATTTTGAGCAAAAGCCCGCGATTATGTCAGCCATGTATAGAAATGTTGTTATGTCTCCCAATTAATTGAAATTTGTCATTCCTTGGCAACATACAGAGAACGAATGCTACCCGGTATGAGAATGGTTCTTGAGAATGAAAGCAAGTAATTGGATCCCCTGTTAAGGTTTTTCAAGGAAATAGCGTTGTTTTAGTGTATGCAGTATCTATCAACTTTTTCATTTCCTTCGACGGCCTGTGATCTATCGACTTTTTTCCTTCAATGTGTTTCATTATATACACCCAACGATGAAAGAAAAATATTAAATCATGACAGTGATTGCAGATTTGAATATCCTAAATTAAAGGAAGGTTAAGGTCGCATATAGAAAACCAAGTCATAAGTTACTATGTTCACAGACCTGTCGACAAAACCTACATTAATTCTTTTTTACAGAATGATGTGAAGATGTGAGGCACTGGCCTAATATCAAAACCTACGCGACTACATCACATATATGCACGTTTATAAATGCGTTTTCACGAAACAGTAAAACATCTACCACCAAATTTTTTATACGATAATAAAATTAACAACAACAAAAATTGGTTTCTTTCAAAAATCGGAACGATTATCCAATGATTCACTTCTAAATTCGAGCACGATTGACGTAAGGGAGAAATTCTTATACGCTGAAAAATGTTAATGGCCTTTTGGTCACTGAAATTAAACTTTTTCAAGCATTCCAACAACTGAAAATGGTCAATAGAAATAAATGTCTTAGTATAATCCACGATACCTACACTAAAGTAGTTTTGATCTAGTTGGCCATTTAAGTAATCACAAAAATCCAATGGCAACGTTTCCGTGCCTTTTCCTTTTTGAAAATCATATTGACATAGGTCTTGAAAATATTTGTTAACTGGAAATTTTGTCATTTTTACTTTATGTATTTTTCTATTAACTACGGAAAGATTTGAAATTGTCCTGTAGTTGTACATCGTAGTTGTATGTCTTTTCTTATAGGTAGTTCTTATTACCAAATATTTTCCATGTGTGGGTAAATTCCCGTATTATTTTATTGAGTTGTTT